TTATTGACAAGATGGATGCCTAATTCCGATACATAAAAGAGTCTCTATCAGTGCTAGTTAGGTGAATATCGTGATTGATGGGAAGTACTGAGGCTAACTCTTGCCTTCCCCTGATCCGCAACGTGGTCCAGGGAACATGGAGAGAGATTTATTATGTTTTTTTCTTTCTTCAGCAACTGATAGAAGTAACTGTACATTTTCTACTCTTGACAGAAAAACAGATAAGAAAATGGCTTTATATGCCCTTTTATATATAAATATGTTAAGTTTGGACACTGCTAAAAGTATTATCAGGCACAGTGATTGCTATCATGGATAAGATTTTTATGGTCTCAAACTGTAGCAGAACTGTTTGATAACAAACGCGGATCTAGTAGAAAAGATAGGGCTTCAGTCGAGCATGAGCTCAGTAGTTTTGGCTTAGACCTTGTATATGTGTTAAAAACTCGCTAAATAAGTACAAATAATAGATTCAAATCTTTGAGCAACTATTGTTTCTTTTGATGATTGTTAATTTGTTCGTAGTGCAAGGGACGTTATGGTTCCAGCTCGAGGCAACGCAAAAATTGCCACTGACTTAAGCATAGACTTACCTCCAGGAACCTATGGTCGTGTCGGTATGCTGCAACATTCTTATCTGAATGTATTCATTTTTGTTTTACAATGACAATCTGTCTTTAAAGGTTGTGCATGCTTTTGTTTCATGTGTAGCTGCAAGATCAAGTTTGTCTTGGCATCATTCCATTGATGTTGGAGGTGGAGTGGTTGATTTAGACAAAAATCCTGTTTTCGTGATACTGTTCAACCATTCTGATGTTGAATTCGAGGTGAAAGTTGGCGATAACATAGCACAGCTAGTCATTGAGCTCCATGCTATACCTGAGATTGTTGAGGTTTATCAATAATTATAATGTGTCTTTTGAATTTGCTGGAGCAGCTTTGTGTCTGTGTATGTTATGCAGTTGTTATGTTTATTGTTCAACTTTCATTCTCCGAGGCTGATCTAGAACGAGTTCTTTGGGTTCAATGGAACTAATTGATTTGGGCTCGAACTATGTATACATATTGCCAAAAAATAGAAATAAAAATGTATGCATATACAAGGATCACATTGATTTTCGAATCCTCTGACTCAACATTCTGTATTTGCCTCTGCCTCTCTTCATACTGTTGACTGTTGTAATAGTTGTCGTTGGAAGCACCTTTCTGCCTCCAGACCAAATGTGTTTGTGTCTTTTAATCAAATGTAGGTCGAGTTTCTGTGGATTCCATTGCTTTCAGCTCGAATTATGTATACATATAAAGGGATCCGACTCTACATTCTGAATGTGCCTATGTTCATGCTGTAGAATGTTGTAGTAATAGTTGTCGTTGCAAACACCTTTATGCCTTCCCCGGCCTAGCTAATCCCAGTAACTATACATTTCATCTGTTCATGTGTCATCATTGACTATAAGAATCAAAAAGGCGAAAAATAATGTATATCTTTCATTTACATCATTTAACAAGTCATTTTAGTAGTGACAAAAGCTGGAGAATACTATGAACTTATGAGTAGACATAATACAAGTAAACAGTATATGAATGTTGAAGATACAGTTAATTTCTTACTCTGATGAGAGTGAAAATTATGGTCTTAAAGGCGTTCGACAAGTTGGACAAGTTGTTTTTTTGGCTAACCAAGGATCAAGACATTGAGCATGGAACACATGGTTACAAGGTGGAAAACTTCTGCACTATTCTGCTTCACATAGACTATCCAAGCAAATGACACACATCGATGAATTAGCTTGTCCTTCGAGGTAGAAGCAACTGATTCCTTGCAACTCTTTGACTGATAATCCTGAGTCATAAGCATCCATTCGAGATATCTCATCGTTGGAATCTACTTGTTGATCAATCATATCAAGAACAAGGTAACAAACTACCATATGTACCACGATAATCGAGATAATAGCAACCAAAAAAAGAGGGGATAGGAGTTCAGCAGCAGAGGGACTCATTTGGATAGATAGGATTTTTTGAAAAAAGATTTTAAATGACATAGATAATCATTGAACTCCATGCTCTTGTAATAAATAGGAGTAAGAAAATAATACTAATAAAAATATTATTGAGCCCCATGCCATACCTTAGGGTTGTTGATTGTTGAGTAACATCAATGACAAATGCGTGAATGTTCACACTTGATCAATGTATATTCACTCACATACATTGAAACAAGAATTACAACCTCGTATTTATTGTTTAATTCACACACTAAATGCGAATTTGAAACATATTCTATGTCTACATATGTTGAAAAATTAAAATGGTCTATATTTGAATCTGTTGCCTCTACAAAATAATTGTAAATTTTGTACTCTTCATTTACATTATTGATATTAGGCTGAAATATTTATGAATTTATCGTATGAATATTAATGCTACACGTAGAAGTATAGTATTTTTTTTTTCTTAAAAAAGAATTGGGGAAGGGGACAAAAGGAGACAAGAAAGATTCTCACTGTCACTGATATCACTAGATTGTAATACTTGACTGTCCTGTTTAGTTTCTTACTTTAAGAATGAAAATCGTGGTCTAAAAGGAGTTTGGCAAGTTGGACAAGTAGGTTTTTTGGCTAACCAAGGATCAATACATTGAGCATGAAACATATGGTTACAAGCTGGAAAACTTCTGCACAATTCTGCATCAACAAAACCATCCAAACAAATAGCACATATTGAGTAATTCACTTGTCCTTTGAGGTAGAAACAATTGATTTCTTGCAACTCTTCAAGAGATAAACCCGAGTCACGAACAACATCTATATCATCGTTGGGATCGCCTTGTTGTTGATCGATTAGATCAAGAACGAGGTAACAAATCATCATGTACACGATGATAATCGCGAAAATTGCAATCAAAGAAAGAGGAGGAGGAAATTCATCTCCAAAATAGCTCATATTGATATGTTAATATCTTTAGAAGTTGCAAAGAGAAGGTGAACAAAAAAAATCCATATGTCATTAGCCTATAGATTGACTTTGACATGTTGAATAATAATCTCTTGCATATATTAATTATATTTGATTCAAAGTTTTAAGTTTGAAAAATGAAAAAGAAAGCTTAGCTTGTGGCTTTCTTTTGATTGTTCTTGAATATTAGATTTGACTTTAATTTGATCTCATACATATCTTACTTCTAATGCACAAAATCTATTTCACACGTACAATAATAACACTAACATATTTCGTATAATTTTATAAATGTAGTCTAAACAGAGACGTACACAAAAATTAATAGTATAGGGGTACCACTATCTTTAATATAGACATGTTAATTTGTTTTCTTCAAATAACAAAGACATATCTTTAATATAGACATGTTAATTTTGTTTTTCTTCAATTAACAGACATATTTTTAATATAGACATGTTAATTTGTTTTTCTTCAATTGACATGTCTACATCATTTTACTCACTAGACTAGAAAGTTTTCGGTATAACTCTCTTTTTTTTTTTTTTAAAGAAGGAAAAAACAACCAAAATAGAAATAAAAATGGACTCTTAACTACTAAAGTGTCAAATAAAATTTTAGAAAATGCTAAAGTGAGAATTGAACTCAAGTGATCCCATTAAGTGTCCACCATGCACCCCAAATAAATCAGGGGAACCACTTTACCTTTATTGTTGGGGTGTCGGTAAATAAATATATATATATATATATATATATATATAATATATAAATTGAAAGCTACCAGCATATAAAAAAATAATAATCAGAATAGATGTCTGCCTTAGGAGATGATTTTTTTTTTTTTCTGTTTTGGGTAGTTGGGGGTCAAGATCATTTAAGTATATTGTCTCCTCGGAGGAAGATCTTGTTTATTTCAAGAAGTCTCTTTTTTCTTTTTTGAGTTTAAATAATACTACATTATTAAAGAAATTGAAATCTTTCAAAAATACTTTTTCTATCTTATAAGGCAGGAATAAATTTGTGTATAGTTTCAATGAGTTTCTACATCAAAAATATTATTTTCACGTGAAAACTTATTTTTTAAAACAGGAAAAAGAATGAAAATTATATATATATTTAAAAAATATTCCGTTACCGGGAATCGAACCCGGGTCTCCTGGGTGAAAGCCAGATATCCTAACCGCTGGACGATAACGGAACTTGTTGATAATAATTGCTGTCTAGCTTTATTTGTACGCTAAAATTGATTCACAAAGTCACTTAGCATGTTAAATATAAAGGTCACACGCAAATTATAAAATCCATTATACTATTAAGTTCAATATGAAATTACATGAGCGGCAGGATGGGCTAAATCCTTGTTAGCCGTAGAAAATTATAAATTTAAAGTAGCAAATTTTCAGGTGAATTTGCTAATTGTTATGACTTGCTTAAAGGTCAAAACCTAAATCTTGAAATATCCAAACCGATCTTAAAAAATTCAATTCAGTCCGAAGTTAGTTGGATGAGAATTGGATTGTAATTTCTTCGATCCGTAAACCAAAAATTCAAATCGTAAATTGCATATCCAATCTGAATGACACAAGCCCACCCTAATGGTGTTTATAGAGCCATAGAATCTGTTTCTCATAGACCATTGCCTCAAACTCAAGTGTTTGCGCCTAGACATCCTAAAGACAAGGAAGGATGATGGTGACTTATTGTTGGTGATATTAAGGGGTGTTTGAATTGACTTATTTTTAGTGACTTTTGACTTTTGAGTATTTTTTATTTTGAAAGTGTTTGGATAATATAAAAACGGCTTGAAAGTACTTTTTCTTTTTAAAATCAGAAGTTGGGATTCCCTATTTTATGACTTTTGACTTTTAACTTATAAGTCATTTAAAAGAAGTCAATCCAAACACCCCTAAGAGCAACCAAAACATCACAATTTCTTTGACATATAGGTAAGGAATCAAATTATAAATTCCTTTAACATGTAATAGAATCTGTATTTTGCGTGATCAATTTATTCATGCAAAATATACACCATCCACTTCACAAATAACAAGAACAAGAGGAAAACATTTCCACAAAAGCTATCCTACCTGATATTACAAATTGCCTCTGCTCTCAAGTACTTAATTCTCTCTTGGATAACTGAGGTACGGGAAGGGCAGACGAGGGAGGATATTACAAGGTGGGGGGAATCGAACTCTCACCAACAAAGTGAAAATTGCATGTAAACAACCAACTGAGCTACTAAGATTCCCCGACAGAAGACAAAACTGATCAGCAACTTACTAGGATTTGTTGATGAGAGGGATGCTGTCAGTTCAAACGATTCTTTACTGAATTTGGTAAAGAGATTTATCGCATATGCAGCATGGGATACCACAGTATTTGGCTCAAAACAAGCATCCCCACGTTGATATTTGCTTGCGATTGAGAATCTGATACACCTGCTTTAACACTTTTCTCTGTCTTTGGTGACAGGGGAGTCACCGTGGTGTTTGGCGTTGGAACCAGCGTGGGAGTCACCGGAGCTTTTGGTGCTGGATTTGGTGAGAGAGTCACTGGAGCTTTTGGGGATGCATTTGGTGAGGGAGACACCGGAGTTTTTGGTGTTGGAACCTTCGAAAAAACAAAAAACTCATCTCAGACCTTAGTAATCACAAAATTACAAGAAATTATAACAGTTACGTGTCTATTGAAGACAAGGTAGCTACATAAATCTTCACTATCAATGTCGCTCTATATAGCTCATCTCAGTCCAATATTATATAATATAAAATAAAATTACTAGAAGTTCTTTATATCTTCTATTGACATGATGACTAAGAGACTCCTAGAAAACATTGGACCTGGAATAAACATACTAACATGAAACTTAATCACAACTAATTGGCATGGCTTATAAAGAGTAGCTAGGTCTGTATAAATTCCACGATACGTCTTTCTAGACAATTACATTTCATGTAATTATAGGTCTACCTTGTCCACGTTTAACTTCACACTTACTACAGACCAGTGCAATGCATATTTTACAAGCATATTGAATAACGAGATAATTGAGTTCTTGCAGTGATTCTCTTACCTGGTTGTTGGCTTTAGAAAGTCCAACATCATAACTCATGGTTAAATCAGGCTTGAAAAGTCCGAAGGATCTCTCAGAAGTTGGTCCTGGTTTGAGATCCTCATCATACATGGCAAAGAGATAGGTATCTACTGATTTGCCAGGCATCAAAGGGGTACCAACCATTGACCTCAAGTGAGCAATCAAATTGCCATTGTAAGCCTTTGCATTCTCAATACTTGGACCAACTTCATTGCTGTCTCCCTTATAAGGCCACCCTGTTTCCGCAATCACAATCTCTACTTCCTTGAATCCCATAGCGTTAAGCGCTGCTCTTATTGCATCCACCTGCATACATCCAACTTAATTAGGTTATTCAATTTCCAAAACACCTACGAAATACCCTCAACATGTAAAGATGAATGACATGACTCAAATTCTAAAACTTTGAGCTCATATTAGCAACTCATCCATTCATTCATTGAAAGTAAACTTTCTATTTTCAAACATCATGTAAATTTTACTACAAATTAGATCTAAGAGGATAGGCAGTCAGTCAATCAATTAATCAACTATTTTCAATCCTAAACTAGTTATATGAATGATTTATATGCATTCTACTCTACAAATTACATCTAAGAGGATATAAGTTCTCTAAAACCGTGTTATCTAAGTCAAACACACAATTACATTAACAAGTTACTAACCAAACTAAAGAGAGTACTTCTATAAAATAACCAATCTAATGTAAGTGTAACACAACAAGAAGTGTACTTTTCAGGATACACTAGTTGGTATCATTTATATACATCATTTTCGTTCATTATGTCTTATTCTTATCAAAGTTCACATCAATTCCAAGCACTCGTAAGTCTCTCTTATAAGAAAAACGTGCATGTTTATCTCGGTTATCTTTTGGAAAAAATTCAATCTTTATAGTGTTGCATATGCGGTTTATGTTATGTTGACGTACAACAAGTAAACATATCAAGACTGCTATACAACAACATCATACTCAGTGTAATCCCACCGGCAGGGTCTAGGGAGGGGAACGTACACAGATATACAGAGCATATCAAGCCTGATATAGTAACCTGAAAATCGTGTAATAACTTGCAAATAATCAGTTAAATTGCATAGTATAAAGTTTCTTTACCTGAGCATCGAACATGTTGGTGTACTTAATCTTGGTGCCAGCATCAACTCGACCAGCATTAGGTTGAAACAAGCAAAAAGCTAAAGTATCAGGTCTAGGATCACTCTGATAAGCGAAAAACGGATAAGGATTAATGGCAAAAGGAGAACCAGTAGCTTTATTGAATTCCAACAATCCTTTCAACAAATCCCCAATATTCGGGTCGAAACTTCCAGAAGACGGAGGATCCGATTGCTTCATAACCGCCATAGAATGAACCGTAGAGACCTTAATTTTCCCTCCAATTGAAACATCATTTAGGGCTTTTTGTAAATTTTGCATCGCCGGCAACAAATTCGTCATCAGATTCTGGTCATTTGAAGACATAACCTCATTTCCGACGTTGATTACAATAATTTCACTCGCCGGATAAAATGGAAGCACATTTGAACTTAGCCATCCTTTAGCAAAGTTCGGGTCTGATGCCATCGGCGGAATATCACCGTTGGCTACTCCGATCATGATTCCGATACCGGTATTTGCTAAAGCTTTGATAATTGCCGGGTCGGATCCGTATAATCGGACTTTTTGAATTGAAGTTGATTGTAGTAACTTGGCTGTTGCCTCCGGTGCCGGTAGATTATCCGCAACTTGGCCATAGTTTATACCGATAAATGACTGTGATTCTGTAATATTAGCATATAATTAGTAAACAAACTAGAAAGAAAAAAGCAAAAAAATGCTTTACGAGCTGTTCAATTGAATCTCCTTCGTCGAAAAATTACACTGAACACGATGACTATAGACAAATACATGTAATTTGGTTGATTTATAACAATATGAATGCATAATTAAAGAATAAAAGAGCTTACTCGCGACGAGTACGAAATGCAAGAGGCAGAGAAGAAGGAAGAAGGAAGAATTGTGAAGTAAATTAGCCATGGATGAGGATGCTTTGTTTTGAAAAACTTGTTTTTTTTTAATGGAAGAAAAATGATTGATGAAGAAGAAGTATAAATAGAGATAGCTTTTTGAAGTACAAAGTACAAAAACAGAGTATAGAAAAGAAGCTTCAAAGGTGTTTGGATTCCTCTATCGTTAGAGAGAACAAAATTTAAAATTCTAAATTTGAATCATAAATTCTGTGGGAATTAATTAATATTTTAAATTAAAGGGGCATGGGACTGCGTCTTTATATCGAATTGATATAGAGGAACTCTATTCATCAATATTCAAATATATGAGAATAAATTATCTAAAACAAATTTTATTCCCGACGAAATTTGGTTATGATACTGTATAATTCTCTAATCACTTTATTAACTACTAAAGCATATGATTTAATTTCGCGGTCAATGAAGAAACTGAAATGAATATTGAAAAATCAAGGCTTAGATCATACTTATGTGATATATGTGTTGATAAAATGTGATCGATATATTTTCTAATAGGATGTATAAGATACACGATAAAATAATTGATGTACACACAAGATCGAAATAGAATATGTTCGATCTAATTAATGGCTTTAACATATAGTATTATCTCCTTAAGCCTCGTTTGAACTTTCTCCACTTTGATAATATGTACTCTAAAAAAGTGAGTACCTGTTTATTTATTTTTAATAACAAGAAAAATGTTGTTACTTTTTGAATCAGTTTAAAAGCAGAAAATGTGTTTTTGTCAATTATCACCACAAAGTGTAAACAGTAATCATGCTCATCACTCACATATTGGGATAAAAAATAAAGCCTTCTTTTTGAGTTTGAAAATAATTTATGGAGACCCCTCTTATATCAAAGTAATAAAATAAAACAATTCAACTATATGTTGTTTACACCAATTTAATATACACACGATATGTATTTTTACATAAAACAATAACAATCACTTAATCATATTCAGTCAATTAATATATATTCTAACGTCAATTCTATCAGTAACCGTGTTATAATTGATATAATTTAATATAAATATCGAACATAAGTAAATTTTTTCGTCCTAACCATGACTCGAGGAAGGGGAAAAGATGATCATTTATTATATAATTCTTTAGGATATTTGAAAATCGAAGTGCTTTGAATAGCTTATCCTTCTATGCTAAGGAATCACTTTTGCATCTTTAGTTTGAATGTGACAACAAGTCCCTACAAGGTTTTTTAATTTTCCTAAATGCAAGTAAAAGATAAATTAAAGAGAAGCTTTAGAATTTGTGTTTGTGGACAAGAGACACCCTACACAATAAAGTGAACTTCAACTTTAGGAATTATTAGGGCAAATGTAGGCATAAAGTAAAAGTAAATTCCAACTTTAGGAAGGAGGGGAGATGGTATAATTTGTTGACAAGTAATCTCTTAGCCATAAGAGAAAGTAATTAAAGTTGAAGATTCAAACTTACTAAGCTTTCTAAGTTTCAATTCTTTTAATGTAATGGAGTTGAATGGACCTTTCCTATAGATCCATTAACTTAACTATGTGGAGAAAGAAAAGTGAAACAATAACATATTTGGTGTAGTCTAAATAGTGGGGGTATGTAGAGTGCCGTGTATGATGTACACAGACATTACTCTTACCTTTATAAGATAGAGAGGTTGTTTTCGATAGACCCTTAACTCGAATTAAGTACATTTTTCCTTTTTGTAAAGTTTGAAACTAAAGGAATAAAAAATAGTTTCGAGCAAAGTACAACAAGTACTATTCATTCTTAACTACAGGTCTGAAATTTGAGTTATGAGTTTGAAATCATCTTTGTTAGGAATCACTTTACCTTCACTGTGAGGTTTCCTGACGTGAATTTGAATTTAGTTGAGTCTTAGGGCCCGTTTGGCCATAGATTTCCCAAGTAATATTTGGGGAAAAATTTGGCAAATAATATTTGTCCATACAATTTGTCATTATTTGACAAATATTTTTGGCAAATATCTCAAATTCCCAAATACTAGTTTTTTCTAGTATTTGGGCCAAATCTCATTATTTAGGATCTTTTAAAAATTAAAATTTTACACCAGACTTTTATCTTTTACAAAAACACCCTCTATAGTAATTGTTTGCGTTGTATTATTTTTTCATGAACACCAAAGTAATGATAAATATTCAGTGAATATGAAAGTGATGATATGGTTGTTGATGAAAATGGTGAACAATTGACCTAGGGTAACAAAGTCATGTGCTTTGTCTAGATGTATGGAATAATGCTTGTTGCACTCACTCCAAACTACTACATTGCTCCAGTGTCATGGACACTATTTGTTATTTGTTGCAACGAAGATCCATTGACTTGTAATACAAACTTATGGTTAGTTTTGATAGTTTTTAAAACTTATGGATATAAATCACATTTTTTTCTAAAAAGTCAAATATGTTTCCCAAATACTATGACCAAAGACATGGTGAAATTTCACCCAAATAATATTTGTCAAAAATATTTGAAAATCTATGGCTAAACGCTAGCTTAATATCTACATCAAACAACAAGTGAAAAATCTGTAAAATGTTTGAAACTTAATGAAAGATATTAATATAAATGTATTGGTAGAGGCTTAATAATTTAATTTGTTGACAAGAGGTGCAGATCAGTTGGAGAGTTGTCCACAACTTTACCTCAATAATTGGGTTTGAACCCCCAAAAAAGAAGAGTAAAAGTTACAACATTCAAACATTACTCATTGCTAAGCTTTTTACATTTTAAACAAGGTAAGGATTTTATCTTCTTTTCTTTTTACTAAGCCGAGTTAGACCTTTACTCTATATCCGATCCATTAACTTAACTATGTAGAGAAAGAAAAGTGGATGTTGAATCTTCTTGTATAATGTTAAAATTATTTATGAGATATTAAATCTTCTTGATTTTTTCTATTTGTATTTTTTAATATATTTTGAATATTTCTAGTTCGGCCACTATATATTATAGTATTATTATTTTCTATAATGTTTGAAACTAAGAAAAGAGAGAGAGCTGATGAAGTTTGGGAGGAATGCCCAATTAGATATAGATGATTGGAGATTTTAAATCAACAATACGTAAAAATAAATGCGAAAGCAAGGGGTTTGCCTTCTGGGTCGAGCTCGTCGCACCGGGCTTGCCTAGTGCGGGTTACCTCTCCTATGTGGTTTGCGAGCTATTGCATAGGAGCGGGGGTTTTACCCTGTGCACACTCAAAGGGTAGCGACTGCGGGTTTCCCTTGTCATAAAAAATAAAAATAAAAAAACAAAAAAATAATAATAATAAAAAACAAATATATATATATATATTACTATATAAGAAGAGTGAATAAATTCACTCCTCTTTCGACACGTGGCACCAAAAAAAAGGAGAGGGTTGAACATAAGTGTGAATGTGAGGGTATTTTGGGTATTTAAAAATACCCTCACATTCACACTTATCTACTAAAAAAAATATATAAGTAGTAGATTTAAATATATTTAAAAATAATATAAGTAATACTATACTTAGTATGCTTAAAAATAGTAAAAACTACATAAAAAGTACTACATATCATATTACAATAATTAACAATTATTTGACACTTTCAATTCTATCAATGCCATATAAATTAGGATAAAAAAGGTAACATTTATATTCAAAAATAATCTAAGTAATACTATACTGTAACACCCCAACTTTTCAAAACGTCTAAATTAACTCGTATATTCGTGGAAAGACAAGGAGGGTGAGTAATAAATTAAGAATGATGTGGTATGTCCTATTTTAAGTGTTCAAGTGTTGCATCTCAAGTTTGGTAAGTGGCAAAATAAAAGTTGGCGGAAGTTATCGTAATTTCCTTCTTAAAGATTTCTCTGAAATTTGGGTCAAATGTCTTGGAGGTTTTCTCCCAATCTATAAAGAGTTATGGGGCCCACAAACTATTGAATCGAAGGTCTACGAGTCTAGTTTCCAACGCATCAAACCGTTCATTCATACGACTTCAGAATAGAGAGATATTCGCATTTTCGTGGGACTGCGCAAGTAGGCGCGTGAGGTGGGGCCCTAGGTCGGTGGAAAGTGTATATATCTTCTTCTTCGAGTTTTTTCTTCATTTTAAGCTAAATATACAGAGAAAACATAGAAACCCATTTTTAGGATCAAGTGAAATATAGATTTTCTCGACGTAAGTCCTTGACGAAAGTTGTTCTACGCGTTGGGCTCATCATCGTGGTATAATTTGTTTTATCGATTGCGTAGCATATCACATTTTAGAGTTGGGACAGCAGGGGTTTGAATATATTTGAAGGTTTTGAGGTGAATTACGAACCTAAGATCGAGGTAAGACCTTTCTTTCATCGACTCTAGCTTTTATAAGCAGCAAATAGCAATTTGCGACGGAAATACATATCTTTTATAAGCAGCAAATAGCAATTTGCGACGGAAATACATATCTTTTATAAGCAGCAAATAGCAATTTGCGACGGAAATACATATCTTTTATTGTATTGTCATGGTATCTTTTATTTTATGTGTTGATTATGGTCCTACCTTGTTGTAGTATCGAGGGAGTTATGAGTTAAAGTCTTTAGGCCACGTGAATTTAGCGAAAAAGGTATGTTAAGGCTATTCTCTTCCTATGGCATGTTTCCTTAAAGCTCAGGAGCAATGTAATTCAGTTGTTATCGTTGTTATACTTATAGCTATTATTGTTGATTGTTGGCTGCTCGAGTGCGTATAATCCTCTCTTATCGAGATTCTTATTCAGTAGTAACATTCGTATGTTGGACACGACTTAGAGGCTATTTGTATAGGTTGTCTATAACTAAATTGCTCACATTTAGCTGTTGGATTGTTATTGTTGCCTTTGGGCTATTGTTGTTAGCTGCAGGAATGTGATCTATGCCTAGCAGGGTTATGTTCTGCCTACAGGGCTATATGGATGCCTAGAAGGGCTATGAGTTGCCTACGGGGCTATATTGATGCCTAGAAGGGCTATGAGTTGCCTACAGGGATATATATTGACGCCTAAGAAGGTTATGTGCTTCCTACAGGGTCATGTTGTTGCCTAAGAGGGCTATGTTGTTGCCTAAGAGGGCTATGTGACTGCCTGCGGGGCTAGGGGACTACCGATAGGGGTATACAGGTTGATTGGCACCTTCCGGGCTTATGGGGG